ACCCTCTTGGGCCGTCTTCGAGGCCATCTTGGGCTATCTTGGGCGAACTTGAAGGCCATATTGGGCCATCTTGGTCGTCTTGGAGGCCATCTCGGGGTCGCTCCGTGCGAACGGGCCCTTGCCTTTCCCCTCCGGGCAGGCTTATCCGGCTGGCCGGCGGGCCGCGCCGAAGCCCCAGTGGGAGCTCGAAAGAACCAACAACCCAGACGCTTGGCATCAGTATCGTTTAACCAATCCCTATCCCTATCCCCATCCACATTTCGTGCCCCACCGTCTCACCACCTCAGTTGGGGATATGCCCCTCGAAACCCGAAGAGAGCAGCCTATATCCCCATCAGGGGGGTAAATCGGCCAGTGGGGCCCAGCCCACGCTGGTGGGGATGGGGATCGCTTAAACGATGCTCATGGCACGCCGTGCAGCCCTGTGGCAAGCCACCAGTGGGCGGCGGATCGAAGACGCCTACGGCGAATCACCGCCGAAGGCTGCCCGTTCGGAAGCGCCAATGTGGCCGAACGTTGTGGCCAGAGGCCTGCCAAGCTATCGGACCATGTGTTCCCCGAATCGGTTTGGAAAGCTTTCGGGGAACACGTGGGGGAGAATGAACATGAATAGGAAGAGAAAGAGGCCTCGTGGGCCGTCTTGAGCCGTCGGAATGGCGAGAAGAAACACATGCCAACATCCTTGAAACACTTAGGGACACTGCATGATTTTGGTCTCTTCGGGCCCTCCTGGAGGACCTCTTGGAGGCCTCTTGGGCCGTCTTGGAGGCCTCTTGGGGCCTCTTGGGCCGTCTTGGGCAATATTGACGCTATGTTAGGCCGTTTTGGAGGCATCTTGGGCCGTCTTGGAGGCATCTTGGGGGGCCAGGCTAGCGGATCATGTGTTCCCCGAGTCGGTTTGGAAAGCCTTCGGGGAACACGTGGGGGAGGAAGAGGAAGATGAGGAAAAGGAGGACAGAGGAGAAGGGGGATGATGCCTCTTCGGGGTCCCTTGAGGCACTCTTGGGCTCGATTGGGTCATCTTGGGATCGTCTTGGAGGCCATGCTGGGGCTATCGTGGGCTCTCTTGGGGCCTCTTGGGGGACTCTTGGGGCCCTTTTAGGGCTTCTCGGGGGCCTCTATGGCCGTCTTGGGGCGTTCCTGGCCCGTCTGACGCCGTCGGGGGCCGTCTTTGGGGCCTCTCCGAACCGACTTGGGGCCCTCTTGGGGCGCTTGGGGGCCGTCTTGGAGGCCATCTTGGGCGTCTTGGAGGTCTCTTGGACCGTCTTGGGGCCCTCTTGGGGCCATCTTGGAGGCCTCTTGGGCCGTCATGGGCCCTCTTGGAGGCCTGGCGATCTTGAGGGCCTCTTGGGCCGTCTTGAGCCGTCGGAATGCCGAGAAGAAGCAAATGCCAAAATCCTTCAAACACGTAAGGAACATCAATGATTGGGCCTCTTCGGACTCTTCTGGAGGGCATATTGGAGGCTTGTTGGGCTGTCTTGGAGGCTTCTCGGGTGACCTTGGAGGTATCTTGGACTCTCTTGGGCCGTCTTGTAGGCCGTCAAGGACCATCTTGGGCGGACTTGGAGGAGGCCATCTTGGAGGCCATCTTGGGCCAACGTGGCCATCTTGGAGGCCATCTTGGACCATCTTGGAGGATTTGTTTCTGGATTGATGTCCCTGGCAATCTTCCTGGGTGGCCGGCGGGACCATCACCAAAACCGCCCAGCACGCCAGGAACGCTTACGACTTGCCGGCCTCTTGGGGACTTTGGGGTGCTTCTTGGGTGCCTGCTGGCGATCTTGGGGGAGTCCTTGGGGCGTAGGGCTCGACATCTCAGTTCGAGTTCTGTCTTGGGCCCCTCTTGGGGCATTCTTGGGCCATCTTGAAACGCCTCTTGGACCGTCTCGGGGCCCTCTTAGAGCCGTCTCGGGACCCTCTTAGAGTCCTTTGGTTGTCTTCGGGCATCTTGAGGGATCCTTGGTCCGTCTTGAAACTGTCGTGGACCGCTGCGGGGCCCTCGTTGGCCATCCGAGGCGGTTCTCGAGATATTCTTGTAGGCTCGCGAGGTCGTCTTCGGTTGGTTGGCTGAGCTTCCAGAGGGCTTATCCGACACACCCCAGGAATTCCGAAACTCCTGGGAAATTTGGGGGTCTGGATTCTGCACAAAACATGCACCACAGCAACTTCTTGGGACATGGTGTAGTGGGCGCGCACGAGCCTCACCCTGGTCTCGCGTGGGCAGGGGTGGTGGGACTGGCACATTGGTGGTGGTCCATGTCGATATGATCGATCCGATTCGGTAGCTGCACCAGCTGGCTCGATCCGACTCGATTCCGATATGTTGACGATCCGATGTCCATCTCGATCCGACCGATCCGATTCGACATCAGCTCCAACTGGCTCGATCCGATTCGACCTCGATACGCCGACGACCCGATGCGGCTCGGTGCTTGCACGGCGGTGCTGAGCATCCTGGCGTGGCCGATCCGGTCCGATGTCGACTCCAGTGCCGATTCGGCCCGATCCGACGCCCTTTTTGATTCGAGCCGATTTCCCGATTCGATGCTGACGGAACCTTGTCAGGGGGGAAGCAGCGAGCAGCGAGCCCCAAGCGCTCCGTCGTCGCCAGTCGGGGCCAAGGGTCCCCCACCCTGCCCCAGAGCGCGCGGTGCTCGCGCCATCGGGGGCCCATCGCTGATCTGTCGGCGATGCATCGTCGGCTCCATGTCAGTGGCTCCCCTCCTCCTCCTCCTCCTCCTCCTCCTCCTCCTCCTCCTCCTCCTCCTCGGCTCCCCTCCTCAGGTCGTTTTCACTAAACCAAGTTTTACTAAAGGGGGGTCTGTCCATCCCCGACAGTGGCTCCCCTCCTGAGCCAGTACCCTTCCCGACCTTCCCCCCGGGAGGCGCGGAGATCCTCGTCGCGCAGCAAGCGGGTCCCGGTGCAAGCGGGTCCCGAGGCCCTCCGTCGTTTTCTCGCGCTCCCGGAGCCGACCGAGGGGGATCGGTCAGGCCGCGCCCGAGACGACCATCGCGCCTCGTGGCCAGGTCGGGAGACCTGCCCTGCCTTCTACAGTGCCGTTTTTTTATACATGGTCCGCGTGCGGATCATGTATTAAAAATGGTGGGATTTAGTATTACAAACGATGATTTCATGCATAAACATATTCATACATTGATCATGTATTAAAAATCCCATTTTAATAAAAAACATCCCATGTGTTAAAACCTGCCCTGTACTCCAAGGGGGGTGTGGCACGCAAAGCTGCGAGGGCGGCTGCGTCTCATGCGGCTGCGCAGCGCGACATTAGGCAGGTGCTGGTGCTGCCGCTGGAGGGGGGTTGGCTTGAAGTCCGCTCGCGCTCCCCGCCCCCGCACCCTTGGTGTGCTGATTGACAGTCCCGATAGTTCTCCTCCGTTGCAGGGAGGAGTGGAGAGGGAGGGAGATGGGCGAGGCGCGAGTCGGAGCAGGAAGGCGAGGAGGATGAAGGCGGGGAGGAGGAGGATGAAGAGGAGGAGGATGCTTTTTTTGCAGTACGCGCCTACAGGCCGAACACCCAATGGGTTTGGCACATCGGCTGTACATCCAAGAGGCTACTTCAATCTCGCCGTCCGGGCGATGACCCCGCTCCCTGCACAGTTCCTTCGAGGGAAGGCCTCGTTTGAGCTCCTGCAGCCCCTCGCGCCGGTCATTGGGGCAGGTGCGCCTGGCGTGCGGCCTTGGCACAGCACGGCTCGGGGAGGAGCCTCGGAAACTGCTGCGGCCAGCATCCACACCCACCTCAAAAGTTGAAAGATCCTCTTATCTGGACGCCCGAAATGGGTACGGAAAGAATGGGTACAATGCCCAACAGCAATCCCTGTTCATTTCGAACAGGACTCGCTGTCCACGCCGCCGCGGCCTGTGTCCATTTGAGACAGAAGGCCGCCTGCCCAACAGCGGCCGCTGTTGGTTCGGGACAACATTTGCTGTTGGGCATTGTGCCCACTGTTTCCGTGCCCATTTCGGGCGTCGAAGTCTTACCCAACAGTCATGGTGCATCGTGCACCTGCCTGTCCGCCAAGAATCAAGAGAGGAGTAGCCACCCAGACCCGACAAGTGGCGTTTACTCAGCGGCCCTGGGCGTGTACTAAGTAGCCCTGCCATGTTCGATTCCTTCCCTGGATGCGTCTACTGAACGGCTTCGCATGTCGGGGTGTTTCTGATGGGGGTGGATTTTCTGCCCAGGGGTGGACCTAAACGGTGTTTTGGCGACTTCGTGGGCCGTTTTCGTCTCGATATCGTTTTGCAGCAAGGACGAACTTAAGACACAACGAGGGACAACGAAAACTACACGAAAACGAAAAACATCGTTTAGGTCCAGCCCTGGGCCGAGCCCTCTAAATAAAACGGGCTCTGAGCTCGGGCAGAATGCTCCGTATGCCAAGGCGCTCCCAGTGGTTTTGGTCGACAACCTTACCGGTTAACTGGGAGCGCTTGCCGTCAGCATTGTGTCCGCACCGGAGGTCCCCAGGGTCTTTCTCCACCACATCGTCGCAGTGGCCGCGCGGGAAGAGCTGACGATGCGAAGAAATTCTTTAGATGTCCTGTTGATGCATTTGTTGCCATTCTGACATCTGCCACCAGAATGGTGGGTCAACACGCGCGCGAAGAGCCTTCCATGGCCGCAAACTTGGCTGCTCTCCGCCTCATGAGCTGCGAAAGCTGTGTTCGCGCGAGCTTCCTGGCTGGGTTGGGAGCCGAGCACACAGCTCAAAGCAGATTCAGATGGTGGCATTGCGCTTCAGGATGGCTACTGCTTGTTCAACCAAACTGGTCGCGTCCGCGTTCCTCTCACGAAGAGCTCGCCACAACTCGAACCAGAGGTCTGCGTTCTGAAGGAGAAGGAGGAGGAGGAGGAGGAGGAGGAGAAGGATTAGGAGGAGGAGGAGGAGGGAGGAGGAGGAAGCGGAGGAGGAGGAGGGCTCGCTGGCGGAGGAGTGCATCTTTAGGCAGAAGCTGAGGATGCGCGCCCGGCCAGGGGCTCGCGTTCGCAGAGCCCCAGCGCACGGCTCTCGTACCCGCCGCGCCTGCGCCGGAGGGCAGGGCAGTGCAGTTAAAGCTGCGTCCGAGGGGCACTACTTACGCCTAGGCCTGGCAGGCCTAGGATCGGAGGTTGGCAGGAACCCCACCCTGCCTAGTCGATCGGCGGACTGCCCTTTTCCAAGGTCCTCGGGAGGGCGTTGCGGCTGCATTGTTTGCGGGCCTGCGTCGGTCAGATTTGGTCGCCGGTCGTTTTCACGAGATGGTGTTCAGCGAAAGGGGGTTCAGTCCATCCCCGATGCAGTCGCACCGAGGTATGAGATCGAGGTCGGTTCGGGAAGGGTACCCCAGTGCTCTCCGTGCGTGCTGCCTGTTCTCGTGCATCCCGGGGAAGGGGGTACCCTTGGGCGTTCTGCAGGTCTTGGCCGACGGCGGGCCTCCTGCTCTTGAGGGGTGCTCTTCTGGCCCAGGTCCGGCCGCATCCAACAAACTGCAGAGCCAGAAACTTCCGTAGCCATTTTTCGGGGGAGCGTAAGACCCGGGTTTGCCAGGACTCGGGTTCGCTATCGTTTTTTGACGACCGCGACTCGGATTTTGACGAGGAGGAGTTTTGTGGGATGTCTGCAGCGGGAGGCCTCGTCAAAATGCAGGCTCGGCCTCGTCATTTTTTTGACGACCTCGTCGGGGATTTCCGAGTCCCCCGTACCCGGGTCTTACGTCTCCCCGAATTTTGGCTCAAGCAATTTGGGACCAGGGCTTGAACATGCGAAACAGACACGCACGCGCCAGATGGGGTCACGAGACATCGGTTTCGGATGTACTGTGACTGTGTCCGCCCATGATATTTCCGAGGCGGATTCATTTTTGTATTAGTGGTTTGGCTTGCATCGCGGCACTACTATGCAGCATATCGCATGCCAGCATGAAGTCTTACCGATCTGCATCGCGTCAGATACCACCAGAGTCTATTGCAATCGTTTCCTTCTTCGCGCCTGACCCGCGAGCAGTGCAACATGGCATGTCTACGATGACGAATTGGCTAGGCCACGCAGCAGTGCGGAACCATGGCAGATACGCACTTCAGCACGGGTATTTGCAGCTGACCACGGAGCAGTGCCTTGGAGATCCGAGCGGGCTGGATCACATCACGCCGCGGCCTTGGGCAAAGGTATTTCTGCTGTCTGCGTGCGTTGAGCGTTACCAGACAGTGCAATATTTCCTGTGGTTGGATGCGGATGTATTAATCACCAATATATGGAAGCCAGTATCCGAGATCTTGGCTGACACCAGCGTCGAGAACCGCAACTGCTCAATAGTGGTCGCTAAAGACCGCCGTCTTTTTAACACTGGAGTGATCTTGTTGCGAACTGACGAAGGAAGTACGGGCATGCTGAACGCTCTAATGTCTTCGTACCTCAGTGGGGACTACCGCCACGCTTACTGCTGCTGGGAGCAGGACGCGATGCGAAGCCTGATCGAGAACTCCACCGCGCACCCCTGGCGACTTGCAGATCTGCTCCTAGACGCGGCAGCGGGCATAGAGCCGCTGCAGGCGGTGGTCATGCCCGTCCAGCGAGGCCCCCTCTGCGTCGTTCGCCGGAGGGCCCTGCAGAGCTTCCTGAAGTGGGACGAGTACCGGAGCGGTGATTTTGCCATCCATGCGACCTGCGCAGATGACGTGCGACACAAGGCTCAGCTTCTCCAGATCTTGCACCAGGAGAGCGTCGATACCGCTGGTATCCCGCCGTGACTGGCTAGCAGGTAATCTGATGATGTACGTTCCCCATCTCTGCCGCAGCATTGCGTGACCCACCGAAAAAAAAAAACAAAAAACATAAAAAAAAAAAAAAAAAAAAAAAAAAAAAAAAAAAAAAAAAAAAAAAAAAAAAAAAAAAAAAAAAAAAAAAAAAAACAAAAAAAAAAAAAAAAAAAAACAAAAAAAAAAAAAAAAAAAAAAAAAAAAAAAAAAAAAAAAAAAAAAAAAAACAAAAAAAAAAAAAAAAAAAAAAAAAAAAAAAACAAAAAAAAAAAAAAAAAAAAAAAAAAAAAAAAAAAAAAAAAAAAAAAAAAAAAAAAAAAAAAAAAAAAAAAAAACAAAAAAAAAAAAAAAAAAAAAAAAAAAAAAAAAAAAAAAAAAAAAAAAAAAAAAAAAAAAAAAAAAAAAAAAAAAAAAAAAAAAAAAAAAAAAAAAAAAAAAAAAAAAACAAAAAAAAAAAAAAAAAAAAAAAAAAAACAAAAAAAAAAAAAAAAAAAAAAAAAAAAACTGCAGAGCCAGAAACTTCTGGCACTCAGCGGCGCCGCCCCCCCGGCGGCGTCCCGGGCGCGCTCCGCGCGCCAGGGAGGGGACCCAGCGCAGGTCCAAGAATCCGCGCGGAGCGCCCCAAGTTTGCGTTTGTGCAGTGTTTGTGTTTCCGTTCTAGCCGGCGTAGCCTAGCTGATGGGTGGGTTGTAGCTGCCCCAAGCGAGTGTTTTTTTGTCTACCCTCTGGGCCACAACGCTCGTCATGCCCCTGCACAAACACACAATCTGAATAATTGTTCTTTACCAAAAGGATTCCAGGGAGTTGGGCTTTCGTTGTATTTTCCGCAATGTTGCTCCCGCTGAAGCGCTGGCCTCATTTTCGGGCTTCCGCTTGTTCCGAGTCGTGCTCCCGCTGCAGCGCTGGCCTCATTTCTGCGCGTCCGCTCGTTCCGAATCGTGCTCCCGCTGCAGCGCTGTTTTTTTTCCAAGTGAGCCCCCAAAATCTAGAAATTGCCCCCCCCCCCCCCCCCCCCCACGAAGAAACCATCGGAAGTGATTACACATTCGGTGTCGATTCCTTGATTTTCCGGGTTGCAGAAGCCCACTGTGAGGCGTCGTTGCTTTCGGGAAGTATCAGACGGGAGTCCCCCGTTTCTGCTTTGAGAAGGCGACGTTGAAAGCAGATCCAGCGGGTGCTCCTCCATCAGTCCCGCCTTGCGTGGACCTTTTCAGGGATGGAGCCACGAGTCCAGACCGGCCCAGACCTCTTGATGATGATCCACTTTCCCTCCAAGGAACCTGGCGCCATGCCATGACATGCTGTGCCGTGTTGTGTTCTGCGCCGTTGTGCGATACCATGCTTTGCGTTGCAATGCTTTGTGATGCAACGCATCATGGCGCAATGCCACGCCATGTTATTGCATGCTAGGCTCTGCCGTGCTCTTCTACGCCATGCCATGCCGTGCTCTACCATGCATCGCGTACCCTCTCGCGATCATCGCCCTGCTCGGCATCCGACTTGTGCGAATAGAGAGGATACGTACGCCACGGTAAGGGATGGGAGGGAGGGGTGGGACGTCAGATTTTACGCGAGCGCACCTAGCTTGTATCCCTCCCTCTCCCCCGCCCCCCTCCCCCTGATAACGCAACGTTCCCCCCCACTCAGTGCGTCCCCGGCACTGTCGCAGTGCGTCCGGCACCACAGTCTGGGGTGGGGAAACGTAAGACTCGACTGGACCCGAAGTCGGGTTTGTCGACGTTTTTTTGGACGGGCGCGTTCTGGTGTCTGCTGGTCCAGTCTTCGTGGGATGTCTGCAGCGGGAACCCGCGTCAAACTTCAGATTGGGCCGCATCATTTTTATGATGGCCTTGTCGGGCCAACCCGAGTCCCCCTACTTAGCCCGAGTCTCACGCTTCCCTGATTCTAGCTGGCCTAAGCTAGCTTATGAGTGGGTTGTACCTGCCCCACGTGGCCCAGGGGGTCGATGAGGCGATATGTGGTTATCAGCGGCTGCCAAAGAGGACGACGCAGAAGCACGGCCTCGGCTGCGCCGATCGCACAAGGTCGCGCGTACGCGCCTTCGTTTCCACTGTGGCGTGCCGCGGTGGCGGCCCGCGTAAGCCACCGCGCAAGGTCGCCGTGCCATCGTGCAGAAAACCCGCTTCTGTTCGCCACCCAGGCGGGTTGTCATCTGGGCAGACCCAGCTCAGGGGTACAATGCCCCAGGTGGCTCAGGGGGGGAAGTAGTGATCCCGGCAAAGTAGGCTCCAGCCACTTCGCGGAGCTCTTTAACTCTTTTGAACCAGTTTGCATGTGTACCCACTTCTAAGCTAGGTTAGGCCAGATGCAACCCATATTTCTCGGGGGGAAACACACAGACACAGTTCATCGTCGATTCCCAAGAAAAATATTGGACACTGCGCGGGAAGTGGATGGGGGAGAGGAAGCCCCAGAAGCGCTGCAAAGGTGTGGTGGATCCGGGAATCCGTGTGTGTGTTTCTTCGTGTGTCCCTTGGAGGCCGCAGTAGGGCCAACCCTTCTGTCGGGCCTGTCCCTCTACAGGGGGCATGTCCAAACGCAGTCAGCAAACAGTCTGGGGGCGATGCTTTGCTTTACTGGTTTTGCCCATTTGGGGGGTATTTTTTTTAGTATTGCTTATTCTTCGCCCAAAATCCCCCTGTAGGGGGACACGCCCGACGTAAGCCAGCCCCCTGCCCCCCCACCCGCGACCTCGCCCCACGGCGCGAGGCCGGGCGGGGGTGCCGAAAGGGCCACCTGCGGCGGCCACCCGCGGCGGCCCCGGACGCCCGCCGGCGTGCTGCCTATCCAGCCTGTCGGCCCCCGCAGGGTTCGGCCCTCAGTCCTGGACGCCCGAAGTGGGCACGGACAGGATGGGTACGGAAAGCCCAGCAGCAGTTTCTGCTCATTCTGAGCAGGCTTCGCTGTCCACGCCGCCACGGCCTGTGTCCACTCGAGACAGAAGGCCGCCCGCCCAACAGCGGCCGCTGCTGGTTTGGGACAACATTTGCTGTTGGGCATTGTGCCCATTCTTTCCGTACCCATTTCGGGCGTCCAAATTAGTGGGCCTTGGAAACGACAGGGCCGTGTTTTTGTTACAGGTTCCGGTTTGCCGTTTTTGGTGCCAGTTCCGACGCCGTCTTTTTCACCGGAATTCCGTCGCCGTTGTTTTGACCGGCTCCGGCTCCGGTTCCACTCCTGGAGCCGTTTTTGTTGTTGCCGTTTCCGGTCGCCGCTTGTTTGCCGTTTCCATGTTCAAAGGGCACTTTTTCGGAAGCGGTGAAAAAACCGGCCCTGCCGTTGCCGGGGCCCACCAAGGTTCGACCCCCTGTCTCGCGCGACGACACCTGTGCATGTCCACGGCCCCCTGGCCAGGCCCACCCTGAGCCCAGGAGCTGTGTCTGCGCCCTCCTGGCCGAGCCGGGAGGGCGTGGCGTGCACACACCGCTGCCGGGCTCAAGACGGGCCTGGCCAGGGAGCAGTGGACATGTATAGACTTCGTCGCCCCCCTCTCGTCCCCGCGGGGGTGTTCTGGCTCGCCCACGTGATCCGCTTCTGTTGGCCCCGGAGACCAGAAACGGGCCAGGGGTCCGCGGCACCGTAACGGAAACTCACTAACGGGTTCTTGTTGGAGAGTTGCCGAACATTGCCACGTTTGGGCCTCTTTCTGGCATTGCAGCGTTGCCCACATCGGGGAGCGTTGGGTTTGTTGGGTCACTGGCCAAAGTACCTGTTAGTGGAGTCCCCGCTAGAGGGGCACTGACAGGGGTGCCGAAATCTATGGGAAACGCTGCGGTTGACAAATCATGTCCCGGTGCAGTCACAGGGGGTCGTTTTGGGTTATAGCGGACGAAGAACGGAGGGGAGAAGTCCACGGTGAGGCTTTCGGAGGCCTTTTGGAGACCGTTTGGGAGCCTCTGGGGGGCAGGCGTCCACGACGGCGGGCGGAGGGGGGACGGGGGAGGGCTTCTTAGAAGCACCCCTGCTTCTCGGAGGGCGTGGGCCCTGTTTGTACATGGTAGAGCAGGCGCGCTTCTAAGAAGCAACTTCCTCCTGAGAAGCCTTCCCCCCTCCCCCTACCCCCTGGCGCGCTCCCTCCTGGTCTCCATCTCCTGCTCGCGCCCATCCCTGATCGGACCCACGTGTGCGCGGTGATTTCTCGACGCCCCTCGCCGCGCGCCCGCGTTAACTGCCGCGGGCGGCAGAGCTAGATAAGCAGCATTAGACAACACCGCCATTCCCCACCTCCCCTTCTCTCCCCCCTCCTCCCCCTTCTCCCCCCCTCCCCCTGTTTCCATTCTCTTTCCTTGTAGATAGGTCCTCCCTGTCGCGCCTCGAGGCCGGTCGGAAGGGCGGGCTGGTTGTTTCGCCTGAGGATTCCCGACCATTTATGGCCCTGAAGCTTCAAAATTGCAACAGCTTCAAAGATGGAGGGCGGGCCGCTTCCAAGATGTTTCTCATGTCTTGAGCGCCGCGCGCATTTGTTTCACAAAGTTGCAAGAGTTTCACGGGTTGAAGGTGGATCGTTCAAATGGGGTTCTCGCCTTAGCGCCGCGCGCATTCGTTTCAAAATTCCACTGTCCCAGAAATGGTGTTTTGGAGCGACGTAAGAATGTCGAGGCGCAACAGTTACGTTGATTCGCGTTGTTGGAATTAGAGGAACGGTGTTCTGTCGGAATTCGGGATCGTCAAAGGACAACAGATGTTGTTGATTCGTGGCGTTGAGGTCCCAAGAACGGTGTTCTGCCACAGTTAAGGATTCTCTATCAGTTGTTAATCCTTCTACTAGGGGATTTTCCAACGGGAGCTTGAAGGGATTTGTTTCTTTTGGGTATTGGGTTTACAACGGTCCTTCCCCTCCTCCTCCTCCTCCTCCTCCTCCTCCTCCTCCTCCTCCTCCTCCTCCTCCTCCTCCTCCCCCTCGTTCTCCTCTCCTCCTCGCCTTCTTCTTCCTCTCCTACTCCCCCTCCGCCTCCTCCCCCTCCTCTTCCTCGTCCTCCTCCTCCTCCTTCTGCTCCTCCTCCTTCTCCTCCTCCTCCTCCTCAACCTCCTCCTCGTCCTCCTCCTCATCCTCCTCCCTGCACCTACTGCACCTCCTCCTCCTCCTCCTCCTCCTCCTCATCCTCCTCCTCCTCCTCCCCTCGTTCTCCTCTCCTCCTTGCCCTCTTCTTCTTCTTCTTCGTCCTCCTCCTCCTTCTGCTCCTCCTCCTCCTCCTCCTCCTCCTCCTCCTCCTCCTCCTCCTCCTCCTCCTCCTCCTCCTCCTCCTCCTCCTCCTCCCCCTCGTTGTCATCTCCTCCTCGCCTTCTTCTTCCTCTACAATTACTCAATATGAATACTACTCTCCCTCTTCCCTTGATGACGGTTTGAAATTGTCCGACCCTCCCCGCGTATTGTTTTTTACAGGTTTCCCCGGAGTTGGGTTTTCTCTTGCATTTTTTTCAAAATGCTGCTCTCGCTGAGGCGCCGGCCTCATTTTCGGGCCCCGCTCGTTCCGAATCGTGCTCCCGCTGCAGCGTTGGCCGCATTTCCGTGCTTCCGCTCGTTCCGAATCGTGCTCCCGCTGCAGCGTTGGCCTCATTTCCGCGCTTCCGCTCGTTTCGACTCGTGCTCCCGCTGCAGCGCTGACGTCATTTCCCGTGCCATGCCACGGCATGCAATGCAATGCTCGGTTGATATTAGGTTTGCGGTGCTCTTCTACGCCATGCCATGCCGTGCTCTACAATGCATCGCGTACCCTTTCGGGATCATTGCCATGCTCGACATCCGACTGCGAGTAAGAGGGGATCTGCGCCATGGTAAGGGATGGGAGGGAGGGGTAGGAAGTCAGATATGACGCGAGCGCACCTAGCTTGCCTACTCCCCCTCCGCCTCCTCCCCCTCCTCCTCCTCGCCTCCCCTCCCCCTCCTCTCCTCCTCTCTCCTCCTCCTCCTCCTCCTCCTCCTCCTCCTCCTCCTCCTCCTCCCTCCTCCTCCTCCTCCTCCTCCCCCTCTCCTCCCTCTCCTTGCCCTCTTCTTCTCTCCTCCTCCTCCTCCTCCTCCTCCTCCTCCTCCTCCTCCCTCCCCCTCGTTATCCTCTCCTCCTCGCCCTCTTCTTCCTCCTCCTCCTCCTCCTCCTCCTCCTCCTCCTCCTACTTCTCCTCCTCCTCCTCCTCCTCTTCCTCCTCATCCTCCCCCTCCTCTCTGGGGTACTGGGGGCCCGGGCGGCGGCCCGGCCGCACCGGAGCAGCCTCCCCGAAGCTTTGGCATGCGCGGGCGCCGCACAGGCAGGGGCGCCTACGACCCGGGTTCGATGCGGTTCGGAGGAGCAGGAGGAGGAGCAGGAGGAGGAGAAGTATGAGGAGCGGCAGCAGGAGGAGGAGGAGGAGGAGGAACTCCCCGATGTCCTGGCTTTCCTCAGCACAGGTACGCCCACCTGCGCGGGCGCCGCACAGGCAGGGCCGCCTACGACCTGGGTCCGATGCGGTAAGGTTCGCGGGTGCGGCACGCCATCCTAGCAGGGCTCATTTCGCTTCCTCCGAGTCGATTCGATTCGATTTCGATGGCTTCCGATTCCGATTCGATTCGACTTCGGAGTCCGATGTGGGCTCCGCCTCCTTATACCGGGAGGCATAGTAGCCTGCCGATGTTCGCTGATCGCCGATCCCACTTACCGATTGGATAATCGGCTCTCCTGTGCTAGACCTCCAGCGTAAAAGGGGGAAGCAATTAGGGACCCCTCCTTCAAGTGATGCGATAGCGCATCCAGCACCCGGAAGCGTTATGCTGGCACCCTGAGGAGGAGGAGGAGGAGAAGGAGGAGGAGGAGGAGGACGAGGAGGAGGAGGAGGAGGAGGAGGAAAAGGAAGAGGAGGAGGAGGAGGAGGAGGAGGAGGAGGAGGAGGAGGAGGGCGGGGAATGATTATTCATTTGGTGCGGCTTGGTGCGGTGCTAAAGATATCTCTCGGCAAGTCCCCCGCACATTATTTATTGAATCGCTTCGCTCATTCCGCCGGCCCGTGGGGGCCTCTTGGGGGCCTCTTAAGGGCCTCCAAGAGTCTTCTTCGGGGCCTCTTAGAGCCTCTTGGGGGCGGGGCCTCTTGGGGGCGTCTTGGGGGCCTCCTGCGAGGGCTCTTGGGGGCCTCTTGGGGCCTCTTGGGGGCCTCTTGGGGCTTCCTGGGGGCCTCTCACGACCGAGGGCTCGAGATGTTGTTTCGTGCTCCCCCTCTGGGGCCGCTCTTGGGGCGCTCTAGGGGCTCTCTTGGGCCGTCTTGGAGGGCTCTTGGGCCGTCTTGGGCCCCTCTTGGGCCATCTTGGGGCCCTCTTGGGGGCCTCTTGGGCCCTCTTGGGGCGATCTTGGGAGCCTCTGGGGCCGTCTCGGGGCGTCGGGAAGCCGAAAAGGTGGAAACACCAAAATCTTTCCAAAACTTAAGGATGAGCAATGATTTTTGCATCTTGGGGCCCTCTTGAGAGTGCTCTTGAAAGCCTCGTGGGGCGTCTGGGGGCCATCTTGGGCGTCTTGGAGCGATCTTGTGGCATCTCGGACTCTTGGTGTACCATCTTGGGGGCCTCTTGGGCGCTCTTGGCTCTTCTTGGGACTCTCTTGGCCCTTATTGGGACTCTCGGGGACGTCTCGGGGCCCTGTTGGTGCGCTCCTGGAGCGCTCTGGGGGCTTCTCCCGGGACCCTGCCAGGGTACTTTTCGTCCAGGGACCCCCAGGGGCCGCCCCGCGCGCGCGAACTAGAAATACCGTGAACCAGTTACCGGTGATCTTAGCACGCCTGTGGCCCGTTGGGCCGGCGAATTTTCGTTTCGGTGCGAACGCCAATACAGTGCGGGTCCTTGATTGCTTCCTCGGGTCTTGGACAAAGATCAGGACAGAGGTTTTTTCATTGTTTTTGGCTTCTGGGAACCCTCGCTGGGCCCCAGGGCCTTCCGAAGACGATCCAGGAGGGAAGACCCATCCCCGGGAGCCTGCCCAGAGCTTTGGGCCCCCGTATCGAAAAAGCGGCAATCCGACTTCGATCCGATTCGGGACGACTCGCTGGCGATCCGATCCGTTTCCGCTGTCCGATCAGGTCTCGCGGCTCGGTCCAGCTCAGGCTTGCCAATTCCGGCGTGGGCCCGGGACCAGGATCAAAGTCGTTCCAGGGCATTTCTTCGACGCCCTCAGAGCGTCCTGGAGCGATCTGGAACGGCCATGCCGCCCGATCCATTCCCCAGAACCGCTCAGAGATCCCCGAGGAGGAGGAGGAGGAGGAGGAGGAGGAGGAGGAGGAGGAGGAGGAGCACGAGGAGGAGGAAGAGGAGGAGGAGGAGCAGCAGAAGCAGGAGCAGGAGCAGGAGCAGGAGGAGGTCTCCGATGTCCTGGCTTTCCCGCAGCACAGGTACGCCCACCTGCACGAGCTCGAGGCCCGCTTCCGCGGCGGCCTCTATGGCGCGCGAGGCCGCCCCGCTGCTGGCCGCCGCCGCTGGCCGCCGCCTCGGCCACTCGCCATGGGTCGCCGTCGGCGCCGCCTGCAGAAGTTCTTGGAGTAAGGGATCGACTACAGTGGGCATCTGATTTTCGTCAGGGCATCCTGGGCTTCTTCGCTCCGCGAGCTGCGCGGTGACTTCTCGCAGCCGTTGAAGAACCTGGTGCGCTCAGGGTGCTCTGGGTTTCCCGTCAGGTGTACCTCGCGCACGGGTTCTCAGGGTTGGGTTTCTTGCGAGGGTTTCTTGCGGCCGCGCCCGCACTGTACAGAGTCGATTTATCCCAGAATCAATGTTCACGTCGAGCCTGCGGAGGAATGCGCAGAGTTCTCCGTCGACCAAGGGTGGGGGCAAGTCAGTTCAGTATGGTCGAATCCCCTCGTCGAGCTCTTCGAGGAAGGAAGATCCAGGGCGGAGCCGGCTGCGGGGTCCAGGTGGCCCAGCACTGGTCCCAGCCGGGCAGGGCGGGGCGAAAGGGCCCCCTTTATCGTCGCCACGGCCGGACGTGGCCCAGAAGGCTTGTCCGTTTCGACCCCGGGCCTGAGCCTGGGGACCGATTCGGAGCTGCTCTGCTTCGGTCCCCCCCCCCTCGCCGAGCCTCTCGGGGGCCCATCTGGCGCAGACCTCCCGACCGCTCCCGAGACCCAGGCCACCCACGGGGGCGCAAGGCGCTCGCTCTTCGCGCGCGCGCGCCGCGGTCCGGGCCAGAGCCTTGGCATCGCTCGGACGTGTGCATGTTTTCTCGGCGAGAACCATCCAGGACCATCCTGGACCATCGAGCAAAAAAAAACACGCACGAAACCGAAAAATACGGGAAATGGACGTCCGAGCGACGGCAAAGGAGCGGCCGAGCCCCCTCGACGGGGGGCGGCGCGGGGGGCGCGAGGGCGCGGGCAGGATCGGGCGCCGCCGGGCCTCGGAGGTCGTGCTGCGGACCCCCGAGGCCCGGTTCGGCCGGAGGTTGCCCGAGGCGATCCCGGCCCGAGGTGCCCAGAGCAGAGCTGCTCGCGCCCCGCGGGGCTCCGGGCGGCCGTCAGTGGGCCTCGCGGGGGGCGCTGCGGAGGCCGGCTCGGAGGCAGGCTCGGGCCTCCCCGAAGGCGCTGGGACCACCGAGGCGGTGACCCTCTGGTCCTGGTCCGGGGCCACCTCTGGCAGCCCTCCTCCGCCTCCTCCTCCGCCTCCTCCTCCGCCTCCTCCTCCTTCTCTCCCTCCTCTCCCTCCTCCTCCTCCTCCTCCTCCTCCTCCTCCTCCTCTTCTCCCTCCTCTCCCTCCTCCTCCTCCTCCTCCTCCTCCTCCTCCCTCGGGCCCTGCGTGGACACCAAAGCAATCCGGGACGAGAAGTTGGCGGGGAGGAACTTGGTAGGGCTTCGGGGGACCCAGTTTATGAGCGGAGTTTTGGCCGACGCCGCCGTTGGTCGTCGTCGTCGTCGGTCGGTGTGTCGTCGTCGTCGTCGTCGTCGTCGTCGTCGTCGTCGTCGTCGTCGTCGTCGTCGTCGTCGGTCCCTCGTCGTCGGTCCCTGCTCTGCAGCCTCTGAGTCCTGCTGCTGCTGCTCTTCGTCCGTCTGTCGGTCGGTCGGTCGGTCGTCGGTCCGTCGTCGTCGATCCCTGCGACACAGCCTCAGAGTCCCGCCGCTGCTGCTGCTGCTCTTCGCTGGTTCTCTCCCTCCGCCGTCTTCTGAGATCCTGGCGTTGCCATCCGAGCTGCGTAAAAGAAAAATCGGGGTCGTCTGCGCCGACAGTGGCGCGTACGCTGCCCGCGCAAGCTCGCGCGTGAGCGCCCTCGCTTCCAGTGCGGCGTGCCGCGCTGGAGGCCTGCGCACGCCACTGCGTAGGGTCGCTGTGCCATCTCGCGCAAGACCCGTTTTGGATCGTCGCGCATCGGTTCATTCTTGGCGTTTCCGCCCGCTGTCGAGCCCCGTGGACCCCCCATGTTGATGTGGCTAGAGCAGTGCTGCAGAGAGACTGCGTCGAGGGTTCGTGTCGTATGACTGTTCACGGCTTCTGCTTTTGGCACGACAGCGGGTCTCGGCGTCTCCTCCTGGGAGGCACAGGAGGAGGAGGAGGAGGAGGAGGAGGAGGAGGAGGGCTTGAGGAGGCGAGGGGGGAGGATGAGGAGGCGGTACAGGAGAGAGGGGGAGTGAGTGAGTGACCCCAGTCGCAGAGCGACATCCCCTTTTACTACGAAATCCGCCGAGCCCGTTCGGCCTTGCTCAGAATCTTTGGCCAACGTCCCTCTGAGATCGGTTGGAATTCGCCACCTTGGGGCAACCTTGCCCAAGGCCTTTCAACATCTGACTTGCAACATGTCCGCAACAACCGCAGAACCAAAGCCTCAGACTTGCGTGGAGACGCATGCTATGTGAAGGATGAACCCACCCACCCGCTTGGTGCAGCTTTACTCCAGACGGGACCCCGTAGTACTCACCATACACATGCACAGGGTGAAAGCACGGAATCTCGCGCCACAGACCTTGTTTGGCTTTGGCAGCGGAGCTGCAACATCTGGTGCACTTTCGCCCAGACTCGTCTAACGCGTGAGACGTGGTAAAAAACTGGACCGCGGACCGTGCACGGGGAGGGAGGGGGTGGTGGCACGCACTTGTTCCCCACGGGCTCCAGCTCACTCTCACGACGCAACGCGTCGACGGTGGCGCGGAGAAGGCGTAGCCTGACGAGATACGCGTTTTGCTCCCACATCTCGGCTCGACACCGTGCCTCTGGATCGACCTGCACACGTTGGGCAGCTGCTCCCGCCAGAACGTCCGCGACGGCGTTCCCTAGAATCATCCACGGCGGGAATTTTCCAGGAACCATTTCGCGGGGACCCAGGTGCGAGTTGACGAATAACACAACAATTGAGGCTGACATACGTCCTGAACGGAATTGCTGCCCTATCTTGTGCCAAAGGTCTGCGTCTTGGCCGCATGGGTTCTCGAATCGTCGTTCGCTCCACCCATCGGTCGCCCCTTGATTGTCGGCTTGTAAACTATCGGTCCGCCAGTCATCTCGATGGCAGGCAGTAGGGCTCTCAACTCTCCTGTGGAAACTGACTGTCTAGCTCCCGTCAGACCTCCTGAAACCGAACTCTGGATACGAATCGGATTGAAATCAACGATGTGGGCTCCTGTCAGGCCGACCCTGCGGTACCAAGAGTTCCCAAACAGATCCCCGAAGAGAAACAAGGGTTGGGCACGTTTCCCAGACCCAAAACCGCCAGACAGAGCTACGCCTGAAGAAAATCAGTTCTCCTCGCTCATCGGAGGTGGAACCGTTACCCATGACGACGGAATGAGGCCTCGGAGCCAGAAGCATTATGTTGCTTCCCATCCTGAGTACGGTTCTCACATCAACATTAGCAGACAAATAATAGGCTGCTGCTCCAGAATTGCATCGGCATCCCAAAAACCTGTGGAACGCAGTCTCACGCTCATCACTGCATCTCTGATAAGTTGCGTCGATCGTGATGTTCCTGCTGCTGCTGGTGTACTCGGCTCTGCGATCTCGTGGCCAAGACGCGCCGGCTGCAGTAGTGACCAATGGCTCCGATATCCGACTCACATTCTGAACCTGCAGTAGCTGTTGATGTAGACGTGTGAGAGATGCCACATCCATGCCTGATCCACAGTAGTGTTGAGCTGCTCGACTCCATAACTGCCGTGAAATGGTATTCTGAACATCTGTGGTCAACACTCCTGGATCGTCCACGTCTGGCCAGCCTGTCCATACGGCATCGGGAAATCGCCAGTCTATGGATTCATGCTCAGGTGCGCTTGGGGTCAGCGTCCACTGTGTGCCAGGAGGGGCAAAACACACAGACACAATTAATCGTCGATTCTCGGGAGAAGATGGGAAAATTTGGGAAGTGGGGGGGAAGACAAAAAGCCAAAACATATGGGAACATATGGGGATTTGTTTTTTGTGTATTTATTTGGGTGTTTCAGGGCCTCTTCAATGTGTGGCATCATTCGGGTCCCAGCCGCCATGAGCGAGAAGGGTAATGACAGCCGGCGCGGGGCCACGGAGGTGCCGCGTGCGCTGCCCTGGAGGGAGGGCGCGCAGCTTCGCCACCAGGGGGCCCCGCGCGCGACAGACGCCCGAGGGCTCCTTGTGGGCCCCGTTTTTCACCCTTCTCCAAAAAGTGCCCCTTGAACATGGAAGCGGGAAAAAGACGGCGACCGGAAACGGCAAAAAAACGGCTCCAGGATCGGAACCGGAGCCGGAACCGGTCAAACAACGGCGACGGAACCGGTCAAAAAACGGCGACGGAACCAGTAACAAAAAGCGGCAAAACGGAACCGATAAAAAAACGGCCCTGTCGTTTCCAGGCCCCACTAAGCTTGGGCCCCTCATGCCATACACGAAACCATTGTCGTCAAAGTTCTTCTGGTAGTCGGAGACCGGGGGTCCAATGGCGCCTTGATAGCCAGAAGAGTGGTAAGGCATCGCCCATATAGAGGGCGCGGCAGTGGCAGCTGCGAGTCGGCGTCGAGAAACATCCGTATACGCTCCAAGCGTGCCGTACAGCTGGTGGCCGTGCAAACCTGCAGCTTGCACACCAAGTCTCTCCAACTTTGGTGACACTGCATACTCGCGGTCTGCCACGGCATACTTTTTGATTCTGGCCTGCATCATCTTGTGTTTCGTTAACCTTTTCCGATGAGTGGTGCGGGTGTGACGACCACCACAACCCAAATGAGTACCAAGAAATCCTGCGTGACTTTGTGCCCGAACCTGAAATCCTGCAAGCCGCAAGAATCGACAGTTCTTGATAACGTCGGGGTGATGACTGCACACCACGACGCTCTTGGTGGCTACTCCTCGGCACGTGTCTTTCAAGCTGGCACACACTTGAGTCTTGACATCTGCTCTGGAACCAGCTGCTCTCTGGGCAAGATCATCCACCCAAATCCGATGCCCCATTCCTGGATGGGCAGTGCAAATCTTTTCGATAACAAAGTACGCCATGACACGGCC